TGTGTGTGTGTGTGTGTGTGTGTGTGTGTGTGTGTGTGTGTGTGTGACTAATCTTCAGGCAAAGAGAAGTTTCATATGGCTCTTACTGGCTTTGCCAAGGCTTCCTTCCAGCCACTGTAAGTCAGGGTTGGGAATGGCAACATAAACACTCCAGCTTTCGGGAAACTGTTGACAGAGAAGCAGGAGTTGTTAAAGTCATGTTTTCACTAGAGAAAAATGTACCATTTTAGATAAGCTGTTTTAATAGACACACAATGTTACGATTTCATGGGACATTATTACAAAGATGGCAGATCTTTGGGGGCTTCTTCCTAGAGGTGTGTAGTTCCTGAAGAAAGTGGATCAAACCTAAAAGGTGTATTCTCATTGTATTTACACACACACACTCAATGTATCATGGCAGGGGGGCTTGGGGGAATAGTTGAAGCCTTAAGGAAAATTTAAACCTTTTCTCAGTTGCAAGGGACGTGATTTTATTAACAATAGCAACAACAACAACACTAACAATAAGTTGTGGCCACCCATTTTAGAAGAGCCTGAACAGCTTACAAAAAGTGGGCCATGGAGTGCATTGGGGTGTACAAGCTTCCTTTTCCAGCTGCAACCCTCCGAGTCCTGACACATTGTTCCATTGTAGTCTTGGGAAGAGTCTTCTATTGAAATCAGTGGAAGGCTTTGCCCAAGACTAATAGCTGCTAAAGAGAGCCAGTTTGGTGCAGCGATTAAAGGTGCTGGACCACAGCAGAAGACTCTGAGTTCTAGTTCTGCCTTAGGCACAGAAGCCAACTGTGTGACTTCGGGCCATTCTGTGTCAGCCTTAAGAAGCAGGCAAGGGCAAACCACTTCCAAAATATTGCTAAATAACTGTGATTTGGAATAATACTTGCAAAATACTCCCAGGTCATTATAGGAGCCAAGACTGACTCAAAGGCTATAGCAATAGCTGCTGAAGAACAGAAAATCAAAGAAGCTCCATTGATTCAGTTGGGAGGTTTAATGGGTTGTATTCAGCCTATGGATCACAGGTTCTGCATTCCTGAACTACACACATTTGCTAAGCAGAATCTCTAACTTTTATTCTGGATTAAATGTGTTGGTTACATTCCACTTGCATTCTCATTGCCTGTTACTACAAGCTTATAATCCCATTTTTACCTGTCTTTTGATCCAGGGCAGACTCCTAATTTTACTCACTGATGCCATGGAATGAAAAGTAGTTGTTTGGTTTGCTAGAGATGAATTATTATGGGAAGAGGTAAAGTGGTGTGTTGGATGTGGGGGAAATAATGGAAGGACTAGATGACCAAAAGAGGCTGAGAGGGGGGAAAAAAAAAACCTAATGAATTTCAGAGGGACAGTATCATCCACCACTTGATATTATCTTTAAGTATTTGAAATCCCAGCTCCAAAGAAATTTCTTAATTATCATATTCTTTGCTCTTCAATGCAACCCAGATGGCTTTCCTGTGGTTTTGGCCAACATTTGAATAGGGTTTCATGTATAATGGAACATCACAGAAATAAAAATATGGAAATTATTTTTGAAGAAGTCTCCCCCCTACCATGCCCACCAACAGTATTTGAGTGGCTGTAGGCCAACCTGTGTATTCTGAGGGATGACTGAATGTTTCATTTGAGACTGCTTCTTAATGCCAAAGTTGGATTGTGGGTTGTAGGCTTAAGTTCCTTCTTGATCTTATTTTTGACTACTTGGCAAGGGGCTAACAGCATTCATCCTATCTGTTCTGTTGACTTAAAAACATTCTTTTGCCAGCAAAACAAACTTGGTTCATGTTTAATAGACACCTTTGGAAATGATGGAGGACATTTGGAGCCAGAGATCCATGAGTTAATGGATTGCCTATGCTTCAAAGCAACATGCAGCAAGTGCTTACAATTCTCCATAGATACAGTGTCCAGACCCTCCACAATACCCATCTTCAAATCAGTATGACAATGCCTATGTTTCATGATCCAGGAAGCTGCTGACAATCGGGAGTTTACTTCTGAATCTTCTAATCTGAATTGGGGTAAATGTGTTGTGGTCTATTTACCTAACATGTTTCTTCTTCAGCCATTCTGGCCAGGCTGGACTCTAGAGTTGAAGCCAACTCATACCCACACTTTTCCCTTACATCCTTCTTTATATAATTAAATAAGTTTTCAACACATTTATTCAAAATGTTTGAAAATTCCAAATGTTTAAAGGCAGAGAAAAATATGGAAATGGATAATTTTACAAGTTTTGATTTGGCATAACAAGAACAACAATAATATGCAGAGCCAGTCTGGTCTAGTGGTGAAGGAACCAGGCTAGAAAGCAGGAAACGGTCAGTTCTACTCCTGCCTTAGGCACAAAGCCGGCTGGGTGACTTTGAGCCAGTCCTCTCTCTCAGCCCAATTCACTTCACAGGGTTGTTGTTGTTGGGAAAATAGGAGGAGGAAGGAGTATTAGGTATGTCTGCCACCTTGAGTTATTTATAAAAATAATGGCAGGATTT